GAAAACACCACAAATCCTACCACTCAGAAATAGCTAGTGTTCACGTTTGGTGAATGTTATACCAGATATTTCTTTATCGAGGTGCATTGAAAAATGGAAGACTGAATAGAATTTTGTAAAAATAGATGTTATGTGCAATTTATAATAAAAAATACAAGATTTTTACTTGAATTTCTTCTATGTGACTTTTGAAGCATCCAGAATTCCCCAGAGAATATTAAGGATTCTGGCCAAGGAAATTAGCAACGGAGAAGAGGACAAGGGGGAAAGACCTGGCCAACGAATGCTGCTTGGGAAGCTGAAGGGCTGGGGCGGGGGTTTCCTTGGGCGGAGAACAATAGTTCCAAGTTACAGGAAAGGGAACATCTGGCCCTGGGAAGATGGGGGCTGTGGGGAAGACGCAGGGCTGAGGGGGATGAGAGACTGCAGACCCAGCTCCCTGATGGTGGTGCATGTCCGTGCTCAGGCTGGTCAGATGCATTATTGTGAAATCCCTTCCCCTTCCCCTACCCCAGCTCTCCCCAGTTCCAACCCTGACCCAGAGAGCAGAGTCTGATTTGGAACCTGGAAGACAAAGCCTTGTAAGGTCTGTGGAAATCTCGGCTGCCCTGTTTCCGGCCCGCCCCCCTGCCCAGGCCTGCCCCGCCTCCTCCCCAGCCGTCCCGGTCCTTCCCACCCTCAGTCTCCTATGCCTCTGAATACGGGGAATGTAAACCAGAGTCCAGGAGCCCCCAACATAGGAGCCAAGAAAGACCCTCTTCTGCTGGCCTGAGAATACACGTCTCCACTCCAGTTCAATCCTTGGTCCCTCTGCTCAAGGGACAATGAACCAGAAGACCACCCTAGTGCTCCTCGCTCTGGCGGTCATCACCATCTTTGCCTTGGTGTGTGTCTTGCTAGCCGGCAGGGGAGGAGCTGGGGGTGAACCCAGCTTGCCTCCCCACTGCCCCTCCATATCTCCCAGTGCCCAGCATTGGACACACCCTGGCCAGAGCCAGCTGTTTGCAGACCTGAACCAAGAGGAGCTGACGGCCGTGATGAGCTTTCTGACCAAGAAGCTGGAGCCAGGCTTGGTCGATGCAGCCCAGGCCCGCCCCTCGGACAACTGCGTCTTCTCGGTGGAGCTGCAGCTGCCCCCCAAGGCTGCAGCCCTGGCCCACCTGGACCGGGGGCGCCCTCCGCCTCCTCGGGAGGCACTGGTCATCATCTTCTTCGGTGGACAGCCCCAGCCCAATGTAAGTGAGCTGGTGGTGGGGCCACTTCCGCACCCCTCCTACATTCGGGATGTGACCGTGGAGCGTCACGGGGGCCCCCTGCCCTATCACCGACGCCCCGTGCTGATCCGAGAATACCTGGACATAGACCAGATGATCTTCAGCAGAGAGCTGCCCCAGGCTACTGGTCTTCTCCACCACTGCTGCTTCTACCAACGCCAAGGAAGGAACCTCATAACTTTAACCACGGCCCCCCGAGGTTTGCAATCAGGGGACCGGGCCACCTGGTTTGGCCTCTACTACAACATCTCAGGGGCTGGGTTTTACCTGCACCCCGTGGGGCTGGAGCTGCTGGTAGACCACAAGGCTCTGGACCCCGCCCGCTGGACCATCCGGAAGGTGTTCTTCCAAGGACGCTACTATGAGAGTCTGGCCCAGCTGGAGGACCAGTTTGAAGCCGGCCTGGTGAATGTGGTGCTGATCCCAAACAATGGCACAGGTGGGTCCTGGTCCCTGAAGTCCCCGGTGCCCCCAGGTCCGGCTCCGCCTCTGCAGTTCTATCCGCAGGGTCCCCGCTTCAGTGTCCAGGGGAGTCAAGTGGCCTCCTCGTTGTGGACTTTCTCCTTTGGCCTTGGAGCTTTCAGTGGCCCGAGGGTCTTTGATATCCGCTTCCAGGGAGAACGGCTAGCTTATGAGATCAGCCTCCAAGAGGCCTTGACCATCTATGGTGGAAATTCCCCCGCAGCAATGCTGACCCGCTATATCGATGGCAGCTTTGGCATGGGCAAGTACGCCACACCGCTGACCCGTGGGGTGGACTGCCCCTACGTGGCCACCTACGTGGACTGGCACTTCCTTTTGGAGTCCCAAGCCCCCAAGACAATACGAGATGCCTTTTGTGTGTTTGAACAGAACCAGGGCTTCCCCTTGAGGCGACACCACTCAGATGTTTACTCCCACTATTTTGGGGGCCTTACAGAGACAGTGCTGGTCGTCAGATCTGTGTCTACCATGCTCAATTACGACTATGTGTGGGATATGGTCTTCCACTCCAATGGGGCCATAGAAGTCAAATTCCATGCCACGGGCTACATCAGCTCAGTGTTCCTCTTTGGTGCTGCCCGAAGGTATGGGAACCAGGTTGGGCAGCACACGCTGGGCACCGCCCACACCCACAGCGCTCACTTCAAGGTGGACCTGGATGTAGGAGGTAAGACATCCCCNTCCTGATATTGTAGCCTCTTGGTGCCCAGAGGATGGTGAGTTGGATGAGAACCAAGAGGTGAGAAACAGAGGGATTGGGGAAGGCTCCTTTCTCTGTGACTCGGGTCCTTTTGGGCATTATTGCAAAGGCCAGTCCTCTGACTCCTGGTTGCCTCTTCCCAGGCCAGTTGTAAATTAGGGTGGGGATATCTGCAGCTGTGAGGGCTAGATGCTGCTGCTCTTGCTGGGCTTTCCCTTTGGGAAAAATATTTCTCTTATTTATAGTATTGTGTTTCCAGGGAAAGCAGTCACTTGTGTGTATATGCACGTACACATTGTGTGTATGTGGAAATCTGCTGGGCAAGTCAAAACCATAGAAGAGTTGCCTCCTATCTCTCAAATCTGCCAGAGATATCCCCCACTTTTTTATTCTACCACAACTGGGGAGTCGATACCTGCAGTCAACTGCCAGTGACTCTCCGTGTCTATTTCTGACTTATTCTTCCCCTGTCTTGGTCTTCCAGCCTCCAGTCCTATTTCTACGTGGATGCATCATTTTTACTCCCAGTATACTATAGAGAAGGAGTCAGGATGCTGTCTTCCCATGAATAGTACTCAGTAACAAACCAATTGCATTTTAGTTGGGCAATGCCCCTACCCACCCTCCAGATCCCTTCCAGAGAAAACCCTTCCCTTCTCCCACCAGGCATTTCTCAATTTCCATTTTTGTTTGTTGGATTGTTACTTCCCACTGCCCTTCCTCCTCACCCTACCACCCTTGGATCGTAATGTAAAATTCTTTTACCATGTCAAGAAATTATTAAAAATACAGGTACTTTGACCTCTTTCTAAAGCCGCAGACCCTGGTGCAATGCTCTGGTGGCTAGGGACATACCTATCCTCACATGTGTGCACATTGGGACATCAACCTCCACATGCACCTCCAGCCACCCTGTTGGGTGTCTGTACCAATTGAGCATCCTCTTTTCTCTGGAATAGTGGAAAGACTGAGGCTCCTGCCTACCAAGGGGGAAGAGTGGGTCCTTCATTCATGTTCAGTCTGAATTATGTAAAAGTTAGCTCTTCCTAAAAGTTGCTTTCTGTTCCTACCCTCAACAAGATCCCAGTTCCTTCCTTCCTTCCTGCCTTCCTCTTGCCCTCCCGCCCTCTCTCCTTCCCCTCCTGCCCTCCCTCCATTTCTTCCCTCCTCAGTGATACCCATGAACTGCCAGTAGAGGCTGCTCTAGTTCCGCGTGGGGAATCACCTGGTTCATGGCGCATTCTACCCTGTCATTTACTTGATACTAATTCTCCCCACTGAGTAATGTCTTAAATTTCTTGAGATTCCAGGGGACTCCTGGTTTTGGTTTTCAAATTACTTGGAGGGATGTGTAGGACCCTAGCTTCCTCTGAAATAAAGTTTCCTCAACTCCCACCTTGTAAAGTCACCTTCTGCTATCAAATGATCCTCTCATCATCTCTGCAAAAAGAGACTTAAGGCCTTGAACAGTGGAGGAACATCGGCTCTGTTCTGTTTCAGAGCTCAGTACCAGTAGCTAACAGTTTCTGAATGCCTACCCTGTGTCATGTCAGGCTCTGTTAAACATTTTACATGCATGATCACATTTCATTTAATATTCATGAATCTACAGGGTAGTTTTATCCCTTCTTCATAGATGAGGATACAGACTTGTGATAAGTACCTCCTCTGAGGTCACACAGCTTAGGGACCTCGGATTGTACAAATCGGACTGCTAAGCCCCGGTGCTCACCACTCCTCTCTCACTGACTAGATAGAAGAGGCCCGAGACTACAGATCAAGCACTTGGCCTTAGACAACTGGCAGAATGCAGTGCTTACTGCTGAACTGGGCAGTGGATCCTGGAAATAGTGGGGGGTAGTGTCTGCCAGGAGGTAGGAAAATGGACAGTTGTGGTGCCTGCATGCAGCACACAGGACTTGACTGAGCATCTGAGATTTGCATGCTCCCCCAGATCCAGTTTGGGTGGAAGGTGATTTAATCCATGTGCCCTCTAATCTGGTCTAAAGGATGGAAATCAGTATTGAGTACTGACTGTGCTGCCTGTGGGAGTTCAGGGGCAGGGGAGATGCTATGCACGTGGAAGTAGTACCTTGGGCCAAACCACAGAACAGAAAATTGGAACAGAATTATATAAATCAAGGTCAGAAATTTCCTGTTCAACCCACAGGGTGGAGTTTTCTCCATTCCTATCCATCCTACTGAATATAAGCCCTGATTTGATGTCTGGAACTGGAAGGAGCATCTGGTAGGACTCAGCTCAGCATTCACCATGAATCTCAAGGTAGCCCTCGTGCTCCTGGCACTGTCCCTCATCACCATCTTTGCCCTGGCCTATGTCTTGCTGACTAGCCAAGGGGGCTCCAGCCAGCCTCCCCACTGCCCCTCCGTATCCCACAGTGCCCAGCCCTGGACACACCCTGGCCAGAGCCAGCTGTTTGCAGACCTGAGCCAAGAGGAGCTGACGTCTGTGATGAGCTTTCTGACCCAGCAGCTGGGGCCAGGCTTGGTCGATGCAGCCCAGGCCCGCCCCTCTGACAACTGCGTCTACTCGGTGGAGCTGCAGCTGCCCCGCAAGGCTGCGGCCCTGGCCCACCTGGACCGGGGGCGCCCTCCACCTCCCCGGGAGGCATTGGCCATCGTCTTCTTTGGCGGACAGCCCCAGCCCAACGTGAGTGAGCTGGTGGTGGGGCCACTTCCGCACCCCTCCTACATTCGGGATGTGACCGTGGAGCGTCACGGGGCCCCCCTGCCTTATCACCGACGCCCCATGCTAGGAACTGAGTTTGCCCAGATGTGGAAGCATTTGAAAGAGGTGGAGCTACCCAAGGCACCAGTCTTCCTTGCTTCAGTCTTCAACTACAATGGCTCCACCTTGGCACCTCTGCAGGCCACCCCCAGTGGTTTGCGCTCGGGGGACCGTACTACCTGGATAGCCCTCCACCATAACATCTCAGGTGTTGGGATTTTCCTTCATCCAGTGGGGCTGGAGCTACTGCTGGATCACAGGGCCCTGGACCCTGCCCGCTGGGCTGTCCAGCAGGTCTTCTACCTTGGGCGCTACTATGCGGACTTGGGCCAGTTGGAATGGGAGTTCAAGGCTGGCCGGCTGGAAGTGGTTAGAGTGCCTCTGCCCCTGCCGAATGGTCCCTCATCCCTGCGGCCCCGAAGCGCCCCAGGTCCTCTTCCCCCTCTTCAGTTCTCACCCCAGGGCTCCCAATACAGTGTCCAAGGGAACCTGGTGGTGTCCTCCCTCTGGACATTTACCTTTGGCCATGGGGTGTTCAGTGGCATGAGGATTTTTGATATTCGGTTCAAAGGCGAGCGAGTGGCCTATGAAGTCAGTGTGCAAGAGTGTGTATCTATCTATGGTGCTGATTCACCCAAGACAATGATGACCCGATACTTGGATAGCAGCTATGGACTTGGCCGTCACAGCCGGGGTTTGGTGCGGGGAGTGGACTGCCCCTATCAATCAACAATGGTGGACATCCACATATTAGTGGGCCAAGGGACAGTTCAGCTGCTCCCAGGGGCTGTGTGTGTATTTGAGGAGGCCCAAGGACTACCCCTTCGAAGGCACCACAATCACCTTCAAAGTCATTTCTATGGTGGTTTGGCCGGCTCAGCCCTTGTAGTCAGGTCTGTGTCATCTGTAGGCAACTATGACTACATTTGGGACTTTGTATTGCACCCAAATGGGGCACTTGAAGGGCGGGTCCATGCCACAGGCTTTGTCAACACAGCTTTCCTGAGTGGGGGAGAGGAAAGCCTCCTCTTTGGGAACCGTGTAGGGGAAGGAGTGCTGGGGACCGTGCACACGCATGCCTTCCACTTCAAGCTGGACCTGGATGTGGCAGGTGAGTGCTCGGGATGAGGACAGTTGAAATGGGTCAGAGGGAAGGGAAACCCCCAAATCAAGCTGGACGGGGCAAGAGGGTGGCATTCCAGCACCATAATTCATTGTGGCAACAGAATGGGGACTGATTTGAGTGTATTCAACTGCATGCAGTCAGCCTGAAATACTGGGTTTATTGGGTATCTGGCAAGAGGTAGAAAGGAACAGTTCCTTCCGCTGCTCAGCCCCGATCACCCAGCCCCCCTGACTTGCTGAGATTGTGAAATTAGTTTAAATGTAGTGGCTGTGCCTGACTACCTTAGCCTTGAGTGACTCTGTGGGTGGTGAATTTGCCCCGAGGGAGGATGGGGCTGGAGTTGGAGCTCTCTTGAGTTCTTCCTAACTAATTCTGAGGGTCAGTGAAAGTAGGGAAAACAGAGGCCTAGCAGAGTTAGGAAGTGGTCGGTCTAAAGAGCTTTTCAGAGTAGAGGTGGTCCAGCGGCATGAGAAAGGTGGGTTCTAGTTGGGAGTAGCTCCACAGAATTTCAGACAACTGGGGATATGGGATAATAGCCCCATCTTTCTGGGGAGGGCCATCCGAATCATTCCTGCCAGCACGTGTCATCGCGGTGGGCTCTCCAGTGACATGGTGGGCATGCAGCAAGCTTGCTGCAAATGTAAAGAGGGAGTGATTGAGTAGGGCTCAGAGCACAGACAACTTGCTGCTTCTAACATTTTTGTAGAGGACAAAAAATAACCACCATATCAAATCTCAGACGATACCAAAAAAGAAAATTAGAAATCCACCAGACCCTCCCCATTTTATAGTTAGGGAAATTAAGGAGGGTAGGGAGATATGGGACAGGAAGTAACTGACTGCCCAAATATAAGGCTATTTCTTGTGAAACATTTTCTTATTCTCTTGAGTACAAAGACACGGTGTGTGTGTCTGTGTCTGTGTGTGTGTGGTATCTGGGGAGTGGAGCGGAGAAGAACTGAGAAAATGGCATGATTGAAATGGCATATTAACAATTCTTTGACATATTTGGAATATGACTTTTATGATTTGAAGTTTCTCTTCAGCATTTTTGGTATTAAAGAACCTTGTCTTGGAGAGTAAAATCAGGTAACATTGATGGGATCCCTACCATGTGCAGCACAGGCCGGTGCTGTGTCAGGCCCCCTGTGCACAGGACAACCAGCAGATGCATGGCTTTTGTGTGCCAGGTGCCTTCACATAGGTCCTGTTTAAAGGAACTGACAGTCCTAACCTGCAGAAAGAAAGTATATGATCAAGTGCCGAGTGGGGTGGTGAATGCAGGTTACAAATGCAGTAGAGTTCCGGGGAATTTCCAGACAATTTAAAGATATAAGTCCCACTTCTGAAACAAACGGAAAGTGGTCCCCACCTTGTTGAGGAAAAAAAAGCAAATTCTCCGAGCTGGGAGGGGTATGCAGGGCACCGTGGAAGGGGATTGTTTTTCCAGCCAGCTTCTCCAAGACAAATACCCCTTTCATAGTTGTGAGAATGTTACTAGCCACCTGCATGTGCTTTTCCATTTACAGAGCTCAACCAGAACAGCTTTTACGATGCCCAGTGTAGAGATTCAGAGAATCAGAGAAGTAAACAATTGGTCCAAAGTCTCTTAGGTAGACCAGTGCTAATAGAACTTGATGCAGTGATGGAAATGTTCTATATCTGTACTCTCCAATATGCTAGCCCATGTGGCTAGTGAGTACTTGAAATGTGGCTAGTGTGGTTGAGGACCTGAATTTTTAATTTCAATGCAAATAGCCACCTGTGACTGGAGGTAACCTTATTGGACAGGACATGGTTGAAGAAGATGGGTTAGCACCTGAATCCAGATGGATGTCCTGGCTCCCAGCATGGAGTGCCCTCTGATGAGTTCTGCTGCCCTTTGTCAGGCCAGTGCAGAGACATTGTGGGGGAGATGAGGAGCCTTCTCACCTGGTGTGGAACTCCTCTCCCTCCCCTCATCCTGGCAGGGCTGAAAAACTGGGTGGTAGCTGAAGACGTGGTGTTTAAACCTGTGGCAGCCCCTTGGAGTCCGGAGCACCAACTGCACCGTCCCCAGCTGACTCGGCAGGTCCTGGGAAGGGAGGACCTGACCGCCTTTTCCTTGGGGAGCCCTCTTCCTCGCTACCTTTACCTGGCTGCCAACCAGACTAATGCCTGGGGTCACCGGCGCGGGTACCGAATCCAGGTCCACAGTCCCCTCGGCATACACATGCCCTTGGAGAGCGACATGGAGAGGGCCCTCAGCTGGGGGAGGTGAGGAGGGCCCTGGGCACTGGGTGGTAGGGAATGACTGATCTCCTTCCCCATCCCGGCTCTTGGAGGCCCCAACTCACTATCCCTAGCTTACATTCAACCCTGTACCTCCTCTCAGATCCAAGTAGATAGGGGATGGCAGATGATCTCACACAGCATCTGACCCAAAGGACTTCTAGGACAGTAAAACCTTCGAATTTTCTGACTCGACCTTCTTATGATATTCCTGGTCAGATACCAGCTCGTGGTGACCCGGAGGAAGGAGGAGGAATCACAGAGCAGCAGCATCTATTACCAGAATGACATCTGGACACCCACTATTGCCTTTGCTGACTTCATCAATAATGAGACTCTGTTAGGAGAGGTTGGTAGCCCTAGGGGCAGAGGAGAGGGGCTCCTCTGTGTCTGGTGTCTTGGCTGCCTGACCCCTGGCCATAAGTTGAAGGGAATGACACATTTCCAGTTCTCAGATTCAGGGGTCAAGGAGTTCTCTGATGACCAACATAGGTCATCCTTCTTGGGGTGAGATTAGCCCTGGAACACTGACCACCCTACAACTTCTCACGGGGATCACCATGCCTGTTATGTGGGCCTGGGGCTGGTAAGAGGTAGAAGTGGGGCTGAGGGCTGGTTCTCTGGGTCTCTCCTCCAAAGTCCTCCTGCTCCTCCCTCTTTCTGCAGGACCTGGTGGCTTGGGTTACGGCCAGCTTCCTGCACATCCCCCATGCTGAGGATGTCCCCAACACAGTGACTCTGGGGAACAGAGTTGGCTTCTTGCTGCGACCCTATAACTTCTTTGATGAGGACCCCTCCATCTTCTCCCCTGGCAGCGTCTACTTTGAGAAGGGCCAGGATGCTGGGCTCTGCAGTGTCAACCCTGTGGCCTGCATCCCCCACCTAGCAGCCTGTATCCCGGACCTGCCCCCTTTCTCTTACCAAGACTTTTAACCCCAAGGGTGTGGTGGGACACAGTGGATATGGGTGGGTGCTAAAACATATATACCTTCTTCCACAACGTTCCCAATTCCTGCTCCGCTGACTTCCACCCTCCTAATG